ATGACCCGCGAGGTTTCCAGACTCTTTGCATTACTTAGAAGGCCCTTCCCCCCCCCCCCTTCGTCGCGGATTGCGCCGGTAGGGGCGGATGGATGTTGTAGTCCAAAACCACCCCAGGAGTTTCTCCAACGACTCCATCCCGAAAGGTGTGTGACCGGATCCGAGTCGCCTTGAATTCGGATTGGGGATGGTGATTTGATTTTATTTCATTTGAAACTTGATGGGGACGGTGTAAACGGAGGAAATGAAAAGTTTGTGTGTGTGTGTGTGTGTGTGTATGTGGAGGGGGGGTGTCTTTTCAGAAGTTTTCCACTTAGCAAGTCTTAGAAAATTTCAAGGGGCCCTTCCAGACGATTTATAGTCCGTGCCCTCACTCCGTTTAAGGTGCTTGGACTAATCCGGAGGGAACCGGATTGAGAAAGGAGTTTACTTGTTTTTCTTATTTTTTTTAATTCTCTCCTCCATCCCTCAATCTCTTCCCCCCCCCCTTCCCCCGAACGAGGGACTTTAAGGGCGTTAAAATCAGGGCAATTTTTCTTGGGGGGGGGGTTGTATCTGAACGATTAGGCTGTCTCCACTGAATAAACCAATCTGAGACAGACAGACAGACAGAGAGAGACCTGCTGAAGGAAACCGGTTTCGAACAAAAAAAATAAATCTAAATATTTCTACAGCCTTTCAGAGCAGATGGAGAAGGAATACCGGTAAAGGAGAATATTCAGGGTTGAAACGAGGGGTCCTTGGTGTTCTCTGCGCTTGTTTCGTTAGTTAAACCGGGACTAGCACGGGCGATGTTACCTAGTTCGGGTCATGAAACGCCTGCGAGGAAACAACTAAGCTCAGAGAGCGCCAAGGAGAAGGAACAAGAATAATCATGAGATTATTATTATGGTTCGTCGCACAGTCTAGATTAGAATCTAGACGGACCTGGCATTTTATCCACCTATCAACTCCTTCCCAAGGACCTGGGAGATGGGCAGATGTTGGGCTAAGTCTACTACACCAAGCCTTTGAGAAGGCCACCCCTGGGCCCAGCTTGGGGATTTAATTCCGACGACCGCGAGGCTCCGGGTCACTATTTGAGTGGACAGTCCACTTTTTTCACATTATGTTCGCTATTTTTTTTTCACAAAATAGTGGACATTTTTTTTTATTCAAAAGCTTTATGATGAAATGGTACGTAATCTAAAGCTGTACAGTCTACTTTTTTTTACTACTTAACCCACCCACCCCCCGCTTGTCCGCTATTTTTTGGAAACAGACCTGGCAACCCTAGGGTCGCACCGTGCTGAAGAGAAACAACGGAGAGACTGGCACCCTCCTTCTGTCGGGTCTGGTTCCCGGTTCTGGACTGGACTGGACTGGGGGGGAAGGGGGGATCCCTAAATCGCAAGCCCTCGGAGCTAGCCTTGTTCAAGGCCTGCGACAGGATCGCGGTGGCAGACCTCCCTCCCCCCCCCCAGGCGCCGCCACGAGGGAAAACTCCCGAGTAGACCCGTTCTCTTCCCCCTTTTTTTCTCTCCAGGCTCCCGACCCTGCCCGGGTTTGCGCCGAAGCGCCCCCCACTCCCCCAAATCAACGGGCCAAAACTTGGGGCCCGAAAGCAACTCGTTAGGAAAAAAGCCCAAGAACGAAAGAGACGGGCGGTGGGTAAGAAATAAGAAACGATACATAACTAAATAAAAGCCAGTTTCGATCCTAAACAATGCCCCCCCTCCCTTGGGAAAAAAAATAATACCCTCTCCCCAATTGCAAATTGGTTTTAGTGAACGAAGCCGGAAAATAATCAGATATTTTCTCCCAGACTCTCTTAAGGTTTAAGGACCACTTTAGTCCCGGAAGCGCGTTTCTGGAGAAGCTAAACCTTTTTTTTTTAATTTTAATTTCTTCTAAATGGGCTGAATCCTAAAAACCCCTCTCAGTTTTTAATTCCAGCTCCTTAACGGGAAGAGTTCGGAAGAGAGATTCGTTCTGCTTCTCTCTATCTTCCTACCCCCCCCCCCAATAGTTATTTTAATCAGCGCTTCAGTAAATAGGATCCACCTGGAAACGTTTATTCTAGAGAGAGGTGGAAAGTTACCTTTCGTTTTCGCAAAAAAACAAAAAAGCCTGCCCCCCCCCCCCAAGCGCCATTTTTCGACCGGGCGGCTTCCTAGTATAAACCGATTTGCGAAGAAACGGGAAAAAATCCCCAGCCGGCCTTTAAAAACGGAGCGGCAGGTTAATAAATAGCAGTTTATTTAGTTGATATTTTGCTAAAAGAGGGAAGGACGGGAGGAAAAGCGCCGTAAAACCACGAGGGATAATTAGTAACCAACTTGTCAAAACGCCGTGCGACTCTTTAAGTTGGAAGACACGTATGTATATATGTGCGTGTGCTCCGGCATTTTTACACACACACACACACAGGCGGGGGCACAAACGAACACACACACACACACACACACACAAAGAGGGTGTTTTCGTATTGGCAAATGAACAGCTGATGAAAGTTTTTACTGGACAAAAGATATTAGAAGGAGGAGGGAAATAATCTTAGGAAGTGGAAAAGGGTTACCCGGAGTTAATTATTGCTAGATTCCTTTTCATCAAATTCACACCTTTCTCTCCACAAAGCCTATCTCTAGAAATTGATAGGTAACGGATATTACTATTACTACTTCTGCTGCTATTATTTACTACTCTGGACACAATGATTCTAGGCATCTTGGCTGGAGGTGATATTTGGGGGGGAGGGAGAGAGAAAGAACTACATAGGTGACGTTTGAATAGCCCTGCCCTGCCCTCAAAATGTCACCCCCCCTTTTCCCCCCATCACTGCAATTAATCAATGTAATTTTATTCATTTATTTAACACCAGGGAAGCCCAGGGTTCCATTAAGCGGGATCGTGTGGGAATGCAGATGAATTTCAATAAAGGAGAATATTTGTAGATCAGGGTTGAATTGAGGGGGTCCTTGGTGCTCTCTGGGCTTGGTTGTTTTCTTGCAGACGTTTCATCACCCAACTAGGTAACACCATCAGTGCTGGAAGGGAGCGGGGTTTGCTCTCATTATATTTTAGCACTGATGATGTTGCCTATTTCGGGTAATGAAACGTCTGCAAGAAAACAACCGAGGTCAGGGTGCACCGAGGGCCCTGCAAATCAATTCTCCCTTAGTTTTATACTTTAAGTTATTTGAAGGAAAAAGACAATGCTGCTTGAGCTTCCATCTGATAACCCCTTCCTAGCTATTACTTCCTAGAGAGTGTGGAACCATCACACACACACACACACGCACACACACACACACACACACATACATTGAGGATAGTACAAAATTAAACCTCCTCGGACACCCCGGAATATGCGGCCTGTTAACATAGCTTTAGGAACGTCTGAATTTTACGACGATTATATATTAACCCGTGTCAAAGCCTCAGCGCAACCAACCCCGCATTCGCACGTGTTAGGTCTGAGCGGTAGAATAAGGCGTGATTGCTTTCCGCCAGCCTCCAGATTGATCGGGCTCGGCGTGGGATAAGTTAGTACACCCTCAAAGCAGCAAAATTCAGTTCGACTCATATATGAGTAGTTTTGTGGCATGGAATATTTAATATACACGCTTCTCCACCGACCTTAATTATTGCTCTAAAATATTGTAGTATGGTACTTTTATGCATTTCTACATAGACATAGGAAAGGGATGTTTCCCGCCTATATTTCAAATCTTGTTTCCAAGGCTTGATTTTTACCTTTAGAGAATTTATAGACAGTTTCTAATGGAATCTTTGTCTCAAGGTAACAGTATAAAAATTCTAAGTTTAGGTTAAAAAAAATAAAGAAACAAACGAAAAAACTCCGCAGAATTTTTTTTAAAAGCACCACACTTGGGGTGGGTGGGGTTTCACACTTTTAGTGAGTCTAAAATTTCAGCGTTAATTCTACGAAACTGTATTTTGCCCCCACGTTCTTCACCTTTTCCTTACAAAACCTCTTTAGCTCCCGTTTAGTAAAATGAAAATACAAACAAAGCAAAAAAGCGAAACCAATCACTATAGTACGATCCATTTCTAGCGCTGCTGCATTCTTATTTTTTTGTGATTTAACCTATTCCTGGCGATATCGTTAGGAAACATGAAAAGCACCACGTTCTCTGTCAGGGGACAGTTGCAATCCTTAAAAGTCCTTCCCACTAAACACTTAAAAGGATTGGCGCTGCCCCCGAGAGACCCAAAAAAACCCTGATTTCGTTTTGCTGGGATTATTTTAATCAGTTAAAAAGAAAATTATCTTCGCGCTATGTACTTTTTTTTCTTTTTTTTTTTAAACTGGCGCTTGTCCTTGATTGCGGGTGTGCGAGTCAGAGAGAGAGAAAGAGAGAGATAAAAATCGATTGAAACTCTCACGTGGCTCGGCCATCCTATCCTCCTCCTTCCCCCCCCCCTAGCACAACGACAAGGGGACAGCGGACAAAGTTGTGTAAACGAGTTGTGTACTTTTGCATTACGCACGCACGCAAACACAGAGCCATTCATTCTTGTAAGGAGAAGGCGCAGAGTACAGGGGGGGGGGGAGAAAACGTTTGGAGACAAACCTGAACGGCGGTTCGTTGTGTGCGTGTGTGTGTGCGTGTGTGTGTGTGTGTGTGTGTGTGTGTGTGTGTGTGTGTGTATTTTAAACCCACCCGCGGTATTATTCGGCGTGGGGTGGCCAGCCCGAGGCGGGGAGGGCTGCAAAAAAACGCACCCTTTGCAAACCCAGGTCGTGCATTCAGTCACCGGAACATTCTATCCAGTGTGACCGGAACGTTCCATTCCTTTCATCCCAACGTTCTCTTCCGAACGTTCCACTCCGAACGTTCCATCCCCCCTTTCGGAGAACCTCCCCATCACTTTCTCCCGGAGCCCCGGGCGCGCTGGCGGGGACCCGCCGCCTCTACGGGACCTTTCACACACACACACACACACACACACACACACACACACAGAGCGCAGCCCCCCCTCCTCCTCCACTTTACCTGACCATCCTCTCCACTTCGGCCCTCTGCTCCATCGCCTCCTCGGTGTTGAGCGCCTGCAACTCCCGGAGGATCTGCGGGGTGTCAAAGTCGTCCCCGTCGTCCGAGCCCTCGTCCCCGGACAGCCTGCCTTTGCTGTGCCCGTTGGTCAGGGTGTGGAAGATGGGCTTGCTGTCCGCCTCCGTCCCGCTGCCTCCGCCGCCGCCGCCTCCCCCGGGCGACAGCTGCAAGTTTTCCAGTTTCACCCCGTAGCCTCCAGCCGGGGCTGCCGGAGCGTTGGGGCTGCCGGCGGAAGGCATCAGCTCCTCCAGGGCTTGGATCAGGACCTCTTTGGCGACGCCCGAGGTGAGCAGGGCGTTGAGCAGCTCGTGTTGCAAAGCGCTGAGTTTGGACACCATTTTAAGCCCGGAGGGAGGGAGGGAAAGGGAAAGGGGAAAAAAAAGAGAGAGAGAGAGGGAGAGGGGGAGAGGGAGAGGGAGAGAGAGGGGCAGAAAAAAAAGAAAAAAAAGGGGAGGGGGGAGGAGGATAGGGAAAGGGGGAAAGAAAGCCCCCCCCCAAAAAAAGAATCCAACCTCCCTCCCCAAACCCCCGCGCCGGGCTTGCAACGGGAAGCCCCAGAGCTCTCGGCTGGACACCTGTTTCTGCGCCGGGCTGTGCGGTTGCAAATGCCTCGGCCGGCCTTTTACTCCCTCTTGATGCTCTCCAGAAGGCCATATACGATATGCAAATGAAGTGGGCAGGCGGGGGCCTCCGCGCGGGATGCAAATGACGAGCTTGGGGGGGGGGCGGCACAGGAGGGGAGGGCACCGACGGGCGCGGAAAGGGGCGTCCAAGACTCCCGAGCTTGGGCTCCCTTCGCCTGGGCTGGCGGGACGAGGACTCCACGTCCAGCCTTTAGGTCAGAAGGGAGGGTGTGTGTGTGTGTGTGTGTGTGTGTGTGTGTGTATGGGGTGGGGGCGACTCGTCTCTAGAGATCGCCGGGGTCCCCCCCCCCTCCTCTTTCTTTCCTTCCTTCCTTCTTCACTGCACTTTGAACCTGTTTAGGCAGCCGGTTTGGGTTGGGGAGGGGGGGGGCGGCTGTTCTCGCCAGGGCTGGGCGTCTCGCCTGTTCGGCGAACTTTGTCTATCCCTGGTCAGAGGTAGAAACCAATAAGAAGAACTTCAACCGTTTTTTTTTTTAAAAATTAGAACAGAATAGAATAGAATAGAATAGAATAAAATAGAATAAAATAGAATAGAATAGAACAGAATAGAATAGAATAGAATAGAATAGAATAGAATAGAATAAAATAGAATAAAATAGAATAGAATAGAACAGAATAGAATAGAATAGAATAGAACAGAATAGAATAGAATAGAATAAAATAGAATAAAATAGAATAGAATAGAACAGAATAGAACAGAATAGAATAGAATAGAATAGAATAGAATAGAATAGAATAGAACAGAATAGAATAGAATAAAATAGAATAGAATAGAATAGAATAGAATAAAATAGAATAAAATAGAATAAAATAGAATAGAATAGAACAGAATAGAATAGAATAGAATAGAACAGAATAGAATAGAATAGAATAGAATAAAATAGAATAGAATAGAATAGAATAGAGCTGGGAGGGACCCGGGAGGTCCTCTAGTCCAGCCCCCTGCTCAATTGCCTTCCTTTCCCCAGATGCAAAGAATTCGGCTCTCTTTCTTTCCTTCTCCCCACTTCTTCCTCCTCCTCCCCCCTCCCCCCCACCAAAGAAAACTAATTCTAACTCTGCAAAAAAAAAAGCCCATTTCGATTATTATCCGGGCTTTTATTGATCGAATTGCACCCCCCCCCGAGAGAGTTCGGAAACGGGTTCGGCGGCGAGAATTGGTTAAATTTCACTTTCTGTGTTTATGCCTCCTGCCTGCCGTTTCGCTCCCTTCCTCTCCGATTTCTTTCCCTCTTCCCGGTTTTTTTTTTTCCCCTCCCCTGGATAAAATGGGAGATGGGTCTTTTTTTCGGTTGATTTATTTAATGTGCTCTCTTTCAGTTTCCTGGTTTCGTGGGGGGAGGGAGGGAGGGGGGTGGAATCGAGGGCTAGACTTAATTCGATAAGATCGGGATCGAATATACTGATCTGGTATACTTTTCTACAGAGGGAAACTTTGAACTCGGATAGGAAGCAGGATTGAAAAGATCTCAGTTTTTATTTACCGGATCGTTGCAACTGTCAGCCCTTTCCCCTAATAATCCAATATGATCTCTCTCTCTCTCTCTCTCTCTCTCTCTCTCTCTCTCTCTCTCTCTCTCTTTTCTTTTAAAAAACTAGAAAACGGATTTGCAGTACTACTCTAAAATTAAAATTATTCAGAAGTCAGGGAGCGGAATATGTTGGATGTTCCCGGTTTTTTTTCTTTAAATGACACTTTTTATTCGGGGATCAGAAAAATATTTCTGATTTTGGGGAAAAAAATATCGCTCCCTTGAGCAGATTTTAATGCTAAGCTTCTGGATTTTTTTTTCCTTTTGAACAAATATTTGGGGTCACAGTCTGTTTAAATTGTTAAAAGTTTTTACTGTTTAAATGGGGGGGAGTGTTAGAAATCAGACATGTATAGTTCCCGAGGTCCCTTTGAAGTAAACATGAAAGAAATGAAACATGGTTAAAAATCCTGTGTCAGTTTACATGGTTAAAAATCCTGTGTCAGAGAATTCGTCCCATTTATGTGGGGGAACTGAATGCTAGCTCAGTACACTTAATTTTTCTCCTATTGAAATTGGCAAAAGTCACTGCTCCAAAGTCAGTTTCAATAGGTCCCACTGCAATTCAAGGTGTGTGTATGTGTATGTGCACATTAAAATGTTTGAAATATTAAAACAGTTGAGCTTTGATTGGGCCGTGCCTTTTAATTTTAGATTTCTTTGCTCTGAATGTGCGCCATTAAAAATGTAGTTATTATTAAGTTATTGTTGTTATGCTCATTGACAATTTTTTTTGTTCACTTCAGCTGCTTATCTAGAAAACAAGGATAAATCAAAAGCTCAGCCTTCCATGTGGCCACGGATGGCAGGGTCATTCCCGGGGTGAAGAGGCAATGGGCGTGCCTAACAGGTTCACCACAACATGTGAACGGCTGCCAAGCTGTTTTTTTTAAAGGTTGTGTACAGACTTCACATTCAACTCGGAAGCCACTCCAAAAGCTACTTCCTTGAAAGCAAATTGGGCTGCAGGACTAGGAAATCAAATGTTACCCCTTGAGCAGCAATTGCTGAATATAATATACAGGATATGTAATAGGTATAATATGCAACAAACAGTATGTAACCTATTGTGTTATTTATATAATATATAGCAGAGACACATCCTGGAAGATGACAAAGATCCAGTTTGGTCTAGTACAGGGGTCTTCAAACATGTCCCTTTTATGACTTGTGGACTTCAACTCCCAGAATTCCTCAGCCAGCCACGCTGGCTGAGGAATTCTGGGAGTTGAAGTCCACAAGTCATTAAAGGGCCAAGTTTGAAGACCCCTGGTCTAGTAGTTAAAGTACCAGGCTAAAAAGCAGGAGGTCATGAGTTCAAGTCCCGCCTTAGCTGTGAAAGCCATTTGGGTGACTTTGGGCCAGTCACTCTCTCTCTCTCTCTTTCAGCCCTACCCACCTCACAGAGTTGTTATTGTGAAGAAAAATAGGAGGAGGAAGTAGTGTTGGATATGTTTGCCACTTTGGGTTATTTGTAAAAATAATAAAGGGAGGAAATAGATAGATAGATAGATAGATAGATAGATAGATAGATAGATAGATAGATAGATAGATAGATAGATACATACATACATACATACATACATACATACATACATACATACATACATACATACATACATACATACATACCAATAGGGAATCTATTTTTTTTATTGTGCTCAAGAAATCTAATGGGTGACTCCATGAATTCACGAAGAGGAGAATTCAGATCAAAAACTTACAAATATTTACAGTCTGGATCTGTTAACAAGGTATCAGATATTAACTGAGAAATCCAAAGAAAACAGTTTAGTACTTAAATATAAGACTTTTTTTAAAAAAATGAAAGACAGCGACTGAATATCTCTTTCAGCATTAAAGCACCTGTGTATGTTCTATACATAAAAAGCATGGGTTGGTTTGTTTTTTTGCTCCTGCGTGGTTATTGTAATCCTGGCTGAACGTTTGTGCATTTTTATTGCAATCAGGTGCACTAATTGAGGGAATAAATGTTTTTCACCTCAGTGGTTGGGTTCACACAACCTGTTAAGCTAGGTTAAAGTAAGTCTGAGTTGTTTGTGGTTTAGCCATTGCCTTCACCTGTTCTGGGCATCCCACCCTCACGCTGACCTATAATACAGTTTGTTGCCGTGTTTTGTAAACTTCGGTTTAACGATAAGCGTGTTGCGTGAACTCACAGCCAGGAGATCTTATGCTTCCGAAACACCTTGGATCTATTTTTTTTTTTGAAAGAATTAGAATTTGAGCAATAAGACATTAGTAGGCACCCAGCTCTTATTGAGATCCCAAGAGGCAATGTTCAAGATACTACAGATAGTCCTCAACTTATGACCACAATTGAGCCCAAAATTTCTGTTGCTAAGTCATTTGTTTAACTGAATTTTGCCAAAGTTGTTACGGAAATCATGGCAGATGTTGAATTACTAACACGGTTGTTAAGTGAATCGGGCTTCCCCGTTGACTTTGCTTGTCAGAAGGTCGCAAAAGGTGATCACATGACCCCAGGACACTGTGACCGTCATAAATACGAGTCAGTTGCCAAGCATCTGAATTTTGATCACGTGACCATGGGGATGCAGCAACAGTCTTAAGTAGGAAAGTCATTTTTTTAGTGCCATTGTAACTTCAAACGGTCACTAAACGAACTGTTGTAAGTTGAAGACTAACTGTATATTCTCCACCAGGTGGATAAGGAAGAAAGATAAGAAAATTAATTTAATCCAGATAAAACAGAGGCCCTGTTGATGAATAAGAAAATGTACTTGGAGTAGAGATTCAGTCCACGTGAGATGGGACTTCATTCCCTCTAAAAGAGCAAAGCTGTACTTTAGAAGTATAAGTAGTCCTCGAATTACAACTATTCATTTAGTGACCGTTCAAAGCTGCAACAGCACTGAAAGAAGTGACTTATGACTGGTCCTTGCACTTATGACCGTCGCAGCGTTCCCATGGTCATGTGATCAAAATTTGGACACTTGGCAACTGGCAGGTATTTACGAAGGTTGCAGTGTCCTGGGGTTACAGGTAGTCCTTGACTTATAACGGTTTAGGGGCAGTTTGAAGTTACAACATCACTGAAAAAAATGACATGACGATTTTTCAACTTACAACCATTACAGCGTCCCCAGGGTCATATGATCAAAATTCAGATGCGGGGCA